ACAAGAGCAGATGTGTTGGCCAGTATCAAGGACAGAACAGCAGAGGGAAAACTGTGTGTACAAAGGCCTCAAATGACAAAAGGCTTGGCAGATGTGAGCAACAAAAGGGAAGCCTCCAACAAGGGAGAAGGTGATAATGGACAGTTGGGTTGGGGCCAGGTCGCACAGGATCTGGACCACTGTTGCTTCTCACTTGATGGACTCCTGGTATAGTCTGCTGTCCGAAACGACAGTGACCTCTGTTGGCATCAATACTGTGACAACTAGAGAACTGCAGGTGATGGTGTGTTTTACAGCACCTAGTGGCTCCCCAGACAGCTCGACTGGGGAACAGAGAAAAACCAAGCACACTGCCTAGGCTTCTGGCTAGAGCAGCTGAATGGACTGTAGTGCCTGCCATTTCCTCGGATGTAAAGGTCAGAGGCTCACCAGCTTTCACTCAGTGTGGACTTTGAAGTCTACACTGTACAAACTCACTTTCCCAGACATTTGTTGCTCTTTTTGTTGTTGTCATTTTTTGAGATGGGGCCTTCTCTGGTGCAGGCTGTTTTCAGATTCACTCTGTATTCACCATTCACCCCTGTTCCACCTTCCTCTACCTCCACAATGCTGAAATCACAGATATGTACCACTGTACCCAGGTTCACAGTTCTTTTTATATCTGGAAGGTGAGGTTATTTAAAATCTCCTCCTAATTAACCACCAGTCTCATGAAGAACAAAACTGCTAATGTGAAAACATCCTGAGGCTCCAAATTAAGGAATAGTGTTATGTCCTGGTATTTCAAAATGGAATAAATCAATTTAACTCAAAACTAGTAACCAAAAACATAGAGGTTATTTTCCTCCAGCATAGCGAAGAAGGTGCCATTGCAAGCATTTCCTCCTGGGATGTGTTTTTCTGGTGTTTCTTGGCAACAGAGTAGTTTGTCCTGTTGAGTAGTATTATATTATAAATGGTTTTGTAACCATGTGTGAAGACCAAACAATATGTTTGTGCTGCAGTGTTCTGACTTCTTTTGATCATTCTGCATTGCTTTTACATAGATTATTTCTCCAGCTCCTTACAGGCCGTGTGTTAGGATGTGGGCAGGTTTGCTGTTGTTTTGTTTTTCTGTAGAAAGGACACTGAACACATTCCAGTTATCCAGAACTCTTCCTAAGCCTAAGATTCTCTTGATAACAAAGGCAGCACAGTTCTGAAACCTGCATCCTGAGCTAGATCTCAAACCTGAGTCAAATGACTCTAACAGAAAAGATCTGTATTACCTCACAGAACACACACGCGCTGGGACAGACTGGCTCAGCAGTTTCCATGATGCTGGACAGTTGGAATGGGGCCAAAGATCATGAGATCTGCCACTGTGGAGGCTCACACTGGCTGAGATCACAGGGACTATGTGCTTTCCAGTCTCTACTTTTCGATGCTGAGATTGTCCCCTCAGTTGCAAGATAATGGTCCCTGTTAAGTAAAACTCACAGGACAATACTGAGCCAAGGAAATGATCCTTTCTTATTCTGTGTGTGCCACTGACAACAAAGCCTTTCCCAGAAGCTCACAGTAAACATCCCTGAGTTCCAGGGAGCACCCTGTTTCCTGCCCAGAGATAGATTATTCTAAACCACACCCCTTCTTCCTTCCTCCCTCCCTGATGGACCTACCCAATCTGGTTTAAAGTCTGTGTGCCATCCTCTGTCCCTGTGGTTACCATATTAACTCTGATCCTCATTTACTCAGTCTGGCCTCACTGCTTCTGGCAGAGGGGGGATCACCTTCCCTGGATCCCTGTAAAACAGGCTGAGGGAAATGCCTACTAAGTGATAAGTATTTCTGGAGTCTCTGGTAGTGGATTTCTCCATCCATGCAATAAGTCAAATTAGGTCAAATTATACGTCCAGGTGCAATGAGCAAAACATTTCTGGGTGATGGGGGGGGGGCCTGGTATCATGTGGGAGCTCTAGGAACCAGAGCTTAAGTACTCTGTGAGCATAGTCTTGAGCAGCCACTGCTTGGCAGGTTTTCTGAGGGTGGGATTTGGAGTGGGGCCCAAACTGGAGATTCCCTACAGCAAGAACCTGGGATTAACCTCAGTGTCAACTAGGCTAATGGCATAGGTTTAAATGCTGTAGAAGCCATTAATGAGGCATCCTTGCCTTGCCCTAAGCATGGAGAAGGGAAAAGGGCAGAGAGGTCCATAAGTTCGATGACGTGCACCCACATAGCATGTGACATCTGGGAAAGCAGTGCCTCTATTTTACCTTTCAAACTCTAATGTGCCACATAAAAGAATTTCTGCTCTGGTTTTATTGGTCATGTTTAGCCAAGCAGATACTTAGAACAAAGTAAAAGTAGTTGCAGATGAAATCCAATCAACATAAAACCTGAAGGGGAATGATTTCTGATTATTTGAGTTGTATTTATAGGATGTTAAAATTGTTTTAGTGGTTTCATTTAGATCATCCTCATATATGTCTATATTTTAGGAAGCTTCTATTGTATTAAGTTTCCATACTACCCCTCAAATGACCCTTAAGTTTAGCTGCCTCTCCCCTCATGCCTTCCATCACTCCCCTCTCCTCTCCCCTCCACACTTGATCCTTCCATTCCAGTCCCCTGTGTCTATCCATAAATATCTAGTCTTCTTCCCTAGGGATATCTGTCTGTTCTCCTAGTTCCTTACTCTATACCTAATTTCTGTTGTTCTACTGATTGTAGAACATTGGTCATCATAGACTTATCAGCTAATATCAACACATAAGTGAATATATTCCATATGAGTCTTTCTGGATTTGGATTACCTCACCCAGGATTTTTTTTTCCTAGTCCTATCCACTTACCTGTGAATTTCATTACTTTTTTAATGGCTGAATAATATTCTGTAAGTGTACCACATTTCCTTTATCCATTCTTCTGTTGAGGGACATCTAGGTTGTTTCCAATGTCTGGCTGTTATGAATAGGGCATCAATGTACAAGGCTGAGCAAGAGCCTCTGTAGTAGGAGGAAGCATCCTTTGGGTATATGCCCAAGAGTGGTATAGCTGGATCTTGAAGTAGAACAATTCTCATCTTCCCAAGGAACAGCCACTCTGTTCTCCGCAGAGGTTATACAAGTTTGCAATCTCACCAGCAATGGAGGCGTGTTGTATTTACTCAACATCCTAGCCAGCATGAACTTCCATTTGTTTTATTAATCTTGCCCATTCTGACAGTTGTCAGATGAAATCTCAAAATAGTTTTGATTTGCATTTTCCTGATGGCTAAGAATGGCTACATACTTTTGTATCAATTTGGCACAAGCTAAAGTCTTCTGAGAGGAGGGAACCACAGTTGAGAAATTGCCTCCCTAAGATTGGACTGTAGGCAACCGTGTAAGGTATTTTTGTAATTAGTGATTGAGAGGTGCCCAGCCCATTGTGGTGGCCATCCCGGGCTGGTGGTCCTAGCTCTATAAGAAAGCAGGCTAAGTAAAATATAGGGAACAAGCTAGTTAGCAGCATCCTCCATGGGCTCTGCATCAGCTCCTGCATCCAGATTCCTGCTCTCTTTGAGTTCCTGTCCTGACTTCCTTCTTTGATGGACAATGACACAGAAGCAGAAGGCAAATAAACCCTTTCCCACATTGCTATAGATCATGATGTTTCATCATAGACATAGTATCCCTATCCCTAGCAAAGAGAGCCACAGAAGCAAGAGCACTCTTTATCAGCAAGGTGGAAGAAGAGAACCGACTCCAAAAGTTACCTTCTGACCTGCACACATGAGCCAATGTGGGTGCAGGCACCTTCTTGCACTCCCCACCATCTACAATCACACTCAGTCGTTAAATTTAAAAAGAATAGGATGTAAAACAACCATAACAGAATATGCTAGTTTTCATAACTAGCCTCCTGCTCTCACCAATCTTCGTTCTTTCTGTTTATGAGTGGGGTCCTCCCTTTTTTTATTGCAGTTCTACGAAAACTAAAAGGTCTTTTAGGTGCAAGTTACAGTTTTATTATGTGATGGGAGATGTCATTCTGTAAATATGTTTCTCTTATTGGTTAATAAATAAAGCCCTGTTGGCCAATAGGAAAGCAAGATAGGCAGACTGGGAGACAAGGAGAATTCTGAGAGATGTAGTAGAGAGGAGTCAAGATGTAGGATGTGAGAGAAGAGGTCTGGACCCTCTCTCTGGTAAGATAAGACCACGAGGAAATGCTTAGATTGATAGAAACGAGTTATTAGCTAAGACAGAGCTAGCCAATAAGAAACACTAGTAACTGGCCAACAGTTTCATAATTAATACACTGTTTCTGTGTGTTATTTGGGACCAGCCTGGTGGGAAAGTGCTCATAACAATTGTGGAGTATGACTTTCTTAACAAGGAAGGACCTGGTAAGGACAAACATGGAGTACTTTTCAACAATGTGCGTGGCACATTTCTGCAGACACTTGACTGCTGGCAGTGCCAGGCAGGGCAGAAGAGGTAAAAGACTGCTTGGTTCTCTTTGCTGTATTCCTTTTCATTTCGAAGGGAGCTGAGGACAGCTTGTCTTGTGCGAGCTTCGGGCAAGCTGGTGCTCTCCCCTCTGTTCCACTTCTAGCTTCCCTGTCGATTTTCCTGTTCACACACTTATCACTGAGACTTCTCAGAGACTGAGCACCTGTGAGACGATGATGACATGCACCAGTTGTCTATGGCTTCAAACTGATTTGGATTCTCCCCTGATCCTTTTAGATGTGGTATTTTTAAATTAAGAGTGGCAGAAACAAAGTGATTTAGGAAAACGATACTGTTCTTTCTAGCCTATTTCAGTGACAGTGTAACACAGTTAAGAAAATGGACTGTCAGCTCTGATCAGTGATGTTGAAGTGAACTGTGATCATTCCCAGAGTAGCTGACAGAAAACTCCCTCCGAGCAAGAGAAGCTTTAATGATGGAAGAGTCCAGGGACTAGGAGAAGCAAGGGAACATCAGTGTGCTGTCCCGCCTACACTGCCTCTGTCTTCTGTCTTGCAGGCACAACATGTTTGATTGCTCTACTATCAGATAAAGACCTCACCGTGGCCAATGTTGGTGATTCTCGAGGAGTTCTGTGTGACAAAGATGGGAACGCCATTCCTTTGTCTCATGATCACAAGCCTTATCAACTCAAGGAGAGGAAAAGGATAAAGAGAGCTGGTGAGTTTGTGAGTCCCTTGGAGGAAGTTTGCCACCTTGTTTGGTTATCTAGGTGATTTCTTGGAGAGGTTTTAGGGAACAAATTCACTTTGCCAGCAACACACCGGGTCACTATGTCATGACTATTACCTAGTCTATATTCCTATACTGTACATTTCTCATTAATTGATGATGACTTAATTTGTCATCCTCCACAGCTAAAGGTTCCAAAAGGACCAAAGACAGCCCATTTCAATTTAAAGTCCAATTTGATCACTAGACCTCTGCTCCCTTGCAGCCATGCTAGACTCCTAACACTCCAGCATGAGCTCCAATGACATATTTGTGCCCATGCAAGTGTCATTCCCACTTCCAAGTGGATGAAAAGTGTATGTCCCTTAAAATGCAACTTAGGAGTGTCCTGCTGGAAGAGTTCCACATCCCACTGGGACAAAGGCTTCCACAGCCTGGGGTGGCTGCCCTTTCTGTCTTTCCACAGCATTCTCAGTAAGTCTCTTTAGGTTCCTTGTAAAATGCATGCATGTAGCTGGCTCTCACCTCTCTGTGACTCTTTGGAGGCAAGAACTTGATCTCAGCACCCAACTCAGTGACCATCCTAAATGGGAACAGAAGGGCCTGCTGTTTATTCAGCATACCCTATTTCCCCTACCCCCGCCAAAAGCCCTTATGAAATTTACATTCTGATCTTGGCTGAGATGAAGGTAAAGAGGCACCAATCAAAGATCAATGAGTTCTGTAGTAGATCATAAGGCAGTAACTACTGAGTAGATGCATAAAGCAGATGAGGAAATGGGGGTGTCTAAAGCTATAGCTCTAAGTGGGGTGGTCTATGTGAAACCACTAAGGTGAAATTCATTCATTTTTTTAGATGGGGGTCTCAGGTAGCCCAGGCTGTCCCAATTCTCCTTCCTCTGCCTCCCAAGTCCTTCAATTCAGGCATGGGTTACCATGTGTAGTTCAGTAAAGAGATACTGAGACCATAACCCTGAGCATTATTAGGTCTGAGAGTTTCCTATCTGTGGAAGGCAAGACTCCCTTCACTCTCTAAACTCACAGCCCAGGGATATGCTAGCAGCTAGGCAGCCTGGACCCCTGCTGTGGGTGTGGACCTGCAGAGACTCTTGGTTATTTCGAGTTAGCTTCTACCCAATGAGGAAATGAAGAGAGACTAATGAGCCTTGGTGTTTCACAACAGGAAGCTACATGCCTCAGACTAACAGGGCTGGGTTTTATAATAACTCCTCACTTCAATTCCTGCTTGTGATGCACAACAATTTTGAGTGAAAGTTCTGCCTAGATTTTCTGCTGATGAAATGGAATAATGTTTTCAGAGCATCCATCAAGCTTTGATGAGCTCCAGGCAAGATGAGTAAAACACCAACTTTCATTTATTAGGCACCATCTCCTCATAGGAGTACACTCTTAAGTCCAAACTCAAGATCCAGATAGCTAAACTTGGCAGGACACACAGGCACCCAGCAACTCCACCTTACTTTCCAGCATGTGTTCCTGACATTTCACTATCATGCCATCCTCTATCTGCTCCTGAACTCATACCTGACACACACACTCCCACTCTGCAGTGCTTCCTTATATGAACAAATTTTCACACTGTCTCTAAGATTAATTGACTTACTCTGTTCCTTTACAAGAATTAGGCAAGGGTGTGTATTTTTTTAAATATGTTTATTCTTTCAGAATTTCATTTCATACAACGTATTTTGATTATGTTCACTCTCCTCCCCCAATCTCTCCCAGACCCACCTGCATTTGTTAGAGGAATAGAACTGATAGGGAATATACATATATACATGATTTATTTGACTGGCTTAAAATCTGTGGTCCAGCTAGTCCAACAATGGCTGTCTCCCAATGAAAAGGCCAGGAATGCATCAGTTGTATGGTCCACAAGGCTGGATGTCTCGGGTGGTCTTCAGTCTACATTGTCTCCCAAAGAAATAGGTTCTAACACCAGCAAAGAAGTGCCTCAGCAGCAGGATAGATGAACAGGCCATCAAGAGTGAGGGCAAATAGGCAAAACACAAAATCTCCCTTCTTTCATGTCTTTTTATATATGTAGGCTGCCACTGGGTATAGCCTAAATTTAGGGTGAGTCTTCCCGCCCCTGACAATCCAATCAAGAAAATCCTTCGCAGACATGTTCAGCTGTTTTGGGTACATATCCCAGATATAGTCAAGTTGACAGCCAAGATCAACCATCACCTTACCTACCTAATCTTGTGCCCCCCCCACACACACCCATCATGTCCAATTTGTGCTGCCCATATACTCTTAGATGTGAGGTTATCTACTGGGATCATAGTCTAATTACCCAGTGTCACACCCTTACAGAAAAGGACTCCCTTCCAGCAGCTGTCAATTGCTAATAGTTCCTTAGGTAGGAGTGAGATTAATGTCCATCTCTCACCTCCATACTTGATTGTTGTCTGGCTTGAGCTTGCACCAGGTACTGTGTATATAGTCACAATTGTTGTGAATTCATATATGCAGCTGTCCTGCTATGTGCAAACACACACACACACACACACACACACACACACACACACCAGTTCCTGGGTGTAGTCATCCACCATCTCTGGGTCTTACATTCTTTTACCCCCTCTGCTTCAATGTCTCTGAACCCTGGGCAGAGTGGACATGATATAGATGTTCCATTTAGAGCTGAACACTCTGCAGTCTCATATTGTGTGTGCCTGGACCAGCTGTGAATCTGTTTCAGTTGCCCTAGGAGGGCTTAAGGGATGGTGATGAGTGTTATCATCTTCATTTGTGTCTATGATGACCCTAGACTTAGGACTTCTCTCTTCCTCCTGCTTAGCATGACAAGAAGCTCCAGCCAGTCTGGGCCACATATTATATAAGCTGACATTTCTGTCTCTGCTATGTCACTAACAGCATCAGTATCAGCTGCCATTCATTGTGTTCAGAGTACTAAGAGCTGAGCCTGATACACTACAGAATGTATTTTTATACATTCTGTGAGGATAATTACTTTATAGCCAGTAAACTGGAACCTCAGAGAGACTTGTGTCCACACACAGACAGCTAGTAAGTGATGGGGCCAATTAAAACTATGACTGACTAAAGAGCCCTTGCTACACCACACTTGCTGGAATTGTGCAATGTTTTGCCCACCATTCCTTTACAGCTCCTCTATGATGTCACTCCCATGGTCATTCCTCCATCCTCCCTTACTTCAGTGGGTAGCAGATACTAAACTCCCAGAAGAGTGTGCCACTTTTAACAGGGCAACTTTTAACAAATGGGGCTTCTCTCTCCTCACGTTGTCAGTAAAAAAGTCTAGGTCTTATGTACTTTTTGTATCTTGAAAAAAAAAATCCCTTCTACAGTATAGGTATTCAATGACTATCTGACAAATATGTGAATGAACACTGTTCTAGCTCCTTTAAAGAAATCATAACAGAAGGGATGGTGATATATGTCTTTAACCCTAGAGCTGTGAAGTAGAATCAGAGGATCAGAAATTCAGGCCTGCCTCAGTCATATAGTGAGTTTAAGACTATCTTGGACTCTAAGAGACTTTAGTTCCCTCTCAAAAGTAGAAATGGGAGGGGGTAGAGAATAGTTAGCATAGAGCAAATGTGCTGTCGGGCGCCATGCTGTGGGATTTCTACGGAGTACCTTCTTACAGTCTCACTATACAATGAGGTGGACATTATACTCATTTGGCAGCTAGGAAGATAAAGCATCAAGAGGAGATTATTTCTCATGCAGGGTCACTAAATATACCTAAAATGTGATTTTCCTTCATCGTAGTTCTGCTTGGGATCCACGTCAGTCAGTACATCCCAGCATGGCCTCACTAAGGGCTTGTTTCAGAGATGTATCCCTGCCTGTCCACTTGCTTCTCAGCAATTTTTTTTTTTTTTGCCACTCTTCCTCAAATCCCCATGCTGCAGCTACATGCTGTCAATAACTGAGCTGCCACAGTGTCATATTAAAAACTGATACTCTGTCTTCACCCATACTCTACCTTTAATATTCTTGCCAGCATTACCAGTGCCAAAGGATGAGAGCATGAAGTTCCCTCCCAGGCTCTGCAGCAAGATGCCGTTGGCTTGGTAGTGACAAAGGCAATGGGGTGGATGGGCGATTACCACCTGTGACCCAGCTCACATATTGCAGACCAGCTTGTGGTATACACACCAAGACTATATCAAGTATTCAAGATATCTGCTTGGCAAGCCAACAGACTTACCCACTTTGTCTTTCCAGGTGGATTCATCAGTTTCAATGGCTCCTGGAGGGTCCAGGGAATCCTGGCCATGTCTCGATCCCTGGGAGATTATCCACTGAAAAATCTCAATGTGGTCATCCCAGACCCAGATATCCTGACCTTTGACCTGGACAAGCTACAGCCTGAGTTCATGATCTTGGCATCAGACGGTCTGTGGGATGCTTTCAGCAATGAAGAAGCAGTTCGATTCATCAAGGAGCGCTTGGATGAGCCTCACTTTGGGGCCAAAAGCATTGTTCTGCAGTCCTTCTACAGAGGCTGCCCCGACAATATTACAGTCATGGTGGTGAAGTTTAGGAATAGTAGCAAAACAGAAGAGCAGTGAGTTAGTTCTATAGGGTCTCCGCTGTCCCAGACTAGAGGACTTTTGACATACTGTTCTCTCAATGTAGTAAAAGGTGTGGGAATTATAATTAGGATCCCCCAACACAGAACCCCTTCCCTGGTGACCTTTCCCTATCAGGTGGAAAGCAGAGGGTTTCCCCGCTAACGCTGTTGAGTGGCGGGAAAGAGTTTATGGGCTCCCAGCCCCTCTATCATTGTTTGAAATGCATCCATAGGTAGCCATTGATCCCACATATGAGACAAAAGGAAGATAGGCCATGTATTCCCTTTAACGTTCTTTTCACAATCTCTTTTATGGTCCTTCAGGCAGCTTCGTTGGTGTCCTCTCCACCTGTGGGCAGGGCAGGCCTGTAACTGCAGGCAACATGGCAGTGTGTCTCCTCATGATGTGGTGGTGGTGCCCTCAGCCTGGCAGCTTCCTCTGAAATGCTTTCCCCTCTAAGCTTGTGTCTTCAGTACTCCAGCAAAGGAGTACTGCAACATGCTATTATTTGTTGTCTGCTCTTGGAGACTGAGGGATGCCTAGAGGATGGAGAGTCCATGGCAGCTGCCTGCACACTGGACAGCATCCCTACCTGTCCCCTTCCTTCATTCATTAGTGTAACAGACTTGGGGTGTAGTTAATCAGCCCTATGCCTCTCATCCTTACTCACACAATGCATCAAGCAAGGGGAGCCGCTGACTTCACTGTGAGTTGTTGTCTCACCAATAACCCACAGAAAGGGGATAAAGTGGGGTGGAAAGCACATCACAGTGCAGGATGACTTTCCATCTCCAGTGAGGAAAGGCTGGGGTGAGTCTGGTGCCTCTTTGACACTGGCTGTCTGCCTTGGAGAGTCAAGCCCCAGGAATCACCACCTCACTCTGTCTGCTGCAGTCTACACAGCCTCCCCAGCCTGCTTTGTAGCTTTCATGTCTTTCAAACAGTGTTGGGAGAAACAGCAGCCTAGAATCACTCATGAGTGCTGTTCCCAGCCACCACACGTTGGTATTTGGTGGCAAACCATTGAGACATGCCTTTCATCTTTGGTTGCAAATCTCTGTCTATACCCAGTAGCATTCCCCAGGCAGACACAAACTGCCTGCCTTAGCCTGAAGGGGAAATAGTAGACTGACTCCTGGGGGACCTGTGTGCATTGGCAACAGAGCTGACTGGGAATTCAAGCAAGAATCCTAAGAGAAAAACAGCACAGAGTTATTTGGGGGCCTGGATTGCTGCTCTTCCCTTACTAACATCAAAGCTATGGGCATTTTCCCAGTCTCTACTTTAGAAGTTAATTTACAGAACATACTAGGCTGTTCTTTTAGAACGATTGAACCATCCCCAAACAACCAAGATTTTCATTGCAGACCCACACCCCGAGTCCGCCTTGGTTTATTCTTTCTGAGGGTGAGTGTTTGTCAGCATGGCCTCTCAGGGCCCACTCATTAGCCATCCCTGCCCCTTTGCCCAGCCCTCTGTCCTTCAGCTGCAGAGCCTGCCTGAAGCCCAGTGTGGAGAAGGAAAGGTTATTTTGGACTCTAAGGACTGCAAACTGTCTTGACTCCTCCAGGAACTTGCTTTTCTTTGCAGAGAGAATTAATAATGGTTTCCCAGGAAATTTGCTTACTTTTGTATACCGTGTTTTCAACATTGGAATTAGGGACTTAGTTACTGCCTTTCAGAATGTCTCAGTACAAAATATCCACAAGCATTGGCTTGTGGAGACATGGACATGTGGATGCATATTATGGGTCAAGTAGGAGGAGAACAGAGGAGACAGGTGTGGGTACAATCCGTGACGGACATGCGCTTGTTGATTTGGGGTGTTCTTACTCTGGAGTCCCCACAGCCCTTCTTCCAAAGGTACAAATTTGGCAGTCCATATAGTCAACTTCTCAATTCTCTCTCTCTCTCTCTCTCTCTCTCTCTCTCTCTCTCTCTCTCTCTTCCTCCCTCTTTCTCTCTCCCTCTCTGTTTCTCTCTCTCTCGGATTAGCTTAATGCAAAAAATTGTATAAATTAAGAGAAAAAAATAATTGAGAAACATTTTTATTGTGAAGAAAAAATAATGAAATAATGTTTTGGTTGATATTCCTTGAGCACTTGGGATTTCTTAACTGGTGGTGCTGCCTGCACTAGTTACAAAACCTTCTAATTGAGGTTTATGGACATCTTGTAAATTTTGTTTTGGAGAAGTAACTTATTTCGAACTGCAACCAAATAGATTATATAGAGAGTTATAAATCTCATACTCCTTTCTTGCCTCTCCCCCCCCCCCCATGGCTTGTAGACTTTTTTTTTAAAAAGATAGAAATTCTAGGCAAAATAGTAGCAGTTTGATGAGTAGTTACATATAAAACAAGAGTACCCCTAACCCTTCCCCATGTTCCCCTGGAATGCTCCCTACCTGACCTGTGCCCAGCCGTGGGGAGTCTGCAGTTGGACTAGCCTGGGCACACTGGCCACGCCCCTCCTCTTGTGGCTCTGGAAGGGTGAATCTAGCTGCAAGAGCAATGGATCTGAGGGCGTGTGAAGCTTCCATAAACAGCACTGCCAAAGCTTTGGGACGGTCCCCCAAGGCTGTCCAGACCCCTACCTAGCCTGAGTTCGAATTGCCAATCGTCCCCACAGTGCCAAACCTTGGGAGGGTTTTACAGTGTTTTAGAAACACAGCTGATGCCAGTCCCACGCCCCCATTAACCAGTGCAATGCCGCTGCTCCCTGGCAATTTGTACTCTTCAGGTGGGTTTGGGGAGAGGGTAGGGAAAGGGTTTTTTAAGATTTCACTGCATTTGCAGTTATTTAATCATAAAAATAAATACTACTAACCTAGAACAATCCAAAGCTCATTCCCAAACCCTGTATTTTTTTTTTTTTTTTTTAATATAACCAACTTGCCCCCAGCCAATCTGGATCACTCTTGTACCTACCACACACAGTATGCACTCATTCCCAATGGCCAGTGTTACTTCTGTTCCTTGCTGTGAAATGGAGGGACTGGCCTTTTGAATCTGGTGCATGCCAAGAACATTACCAAGAGAAGGTAGAGCTTCCACAGGCTAGGTAATCAAGCTGGCTTCATGTCATGCAAGGGTAGTGATTTGGACATTTTGCACAAATGCAGATGACTGCACGGGAGTGCTAGCCTTGCTATTTGACCCTCTCTAAAGTGGCTGCAGGGAACTGGCTCCACTATTGACTGGGGTGTCTGGATTTACCAAGGGAGTGACCTCTTTTTCCTTTGTCAGGGACACTTTGTTTTTCCTGTGTGTTTGCTGTTGCTCCTCCTCCTTGATTTCAGAAACAATCTTTTCCCCTCCTCTGATCCATTATTACACAGACCTTCCTGGAACAATCACGCAGAATTGCCTTAGTCTGTCACAGCAGCACTCAGATTTAGCTCTAGAAAAGTCCCAAGTCACATGGCTGCCTCCTGCCAAAGCATTTTTACATAGGCTTTAGGCTAGGTGGATGCACCTTTCAGGAACAGAGGAATCTAATGGCCCTCAACACAAGAGAACACACATTCTAAAGATGTTTTTCCAACTACATAGTTTCGCTGTCACAGGAGTTGGGGAACCATACTCCATAGTACAAAAATAAATTCATGATTAGGCTAAATGTCATACAGGAGAGGAGAAAATACATATAGAGCCCTAATACAGTATCTTGTTTTCCAGATTAACTTGATCACAGAAAACCCTGAGTAACCCTCATGACATTTCAATGGACCCTTAATTCCCACTTTGGAATTAGCAACGGTATAGTTTGGAAGTCAGAAGCACTACCATTCATATGCCAGGCTGGTTAGTGATAGAAGCAGGACTGGAATGCTATGGTTTAATGTGACCACCACGAGTTTCCCATTGACAGTGGAAGCCCAGCAGTCATACCTGAAACTATAAATAGTCTCCTCCTATGAATAGGGAACAAGGGCTTTTGCCATGCTGGCCATGTCTCAGCTGTGCTACCACAGCCTTCAGGTGTTTCTCTGAAGTTGTCTTTGCTTTACAGACCAAGCCAAAATATTTTTGTGTCATCATTGACAGAAAGAAAATAATATAACAGGAAAAGTACACACTTGATTTTAATCTCACTTGTGACATTTTAACCATTTTTTAAAATGCATAATAGAAATGTCAATTGTTAATATTAACACATATTGCTGTCTTTCCTCTGTTCACTCTAGAAATAATTTGCAATTTGGAGCTTATACATCATGAAATTCATATTCTATCACCATCCCTAGGCATTATCCTCATTCCAGTCAATTTGCTTGGAAAGCTGTGACAGGTAACCCCTAAACAATGTGCTAAACATAGAGCAGTAAATCTGGGGCGAAGTTACTAATTGCATCCAACATTTTTGGCGATATGCCTCCTACATCCTATCAAATAGTAAAAAATAAAACTAAAGCTAAAAACAGCATCCCTTATGCTAGGTTGCAAATTGCAAAGGGCAAGGGACAGTGGGTACAGTGGGGTCCATGGGTACGTTTCTAAATGTTCCCTACTGCATAGGCTTTTGTAGATTCTTAATGATGCTACTGCTTTGTCCATTGTTTGTTTGGCTTACTACTGCTAAGCTGCGTACTGTTAAACCAGGTGCTATAATCATTTCATACATCTGGTAATAACTACACATCACACATACAATCTGAGTTCAGGTTATTGAGAAGAACACATGCTGTTCATTTTAATAAAATCACCATAGGCATTGTTGCTATTAAGAATTACACCAAGAAGCAAGCTTAAAGCAAAGGAATAGATCATATTCAAGGATGTGAGCTGAATGCAAAGGAATAGATCATATTTAAGGATGTGTTTCCATTTATTCTAGAAGTCTTGTATTGTTTAGCTGTAAAATCTCATATATTTGCCACATTGAAATGAATTTTAGAAACTTCCAGAGACCAGCATCCAGCACAAGCAGATTATTTAACAGTCCTGGTGGCAGCATGAACTTAGCAGGTTTTGAGGAGGGGCAGGAAAATCTACCAGATCCTTTCCATGTCTCAGCCCATGAAGAACTATATCAGCCACACATTCTCACAACACTTCAGACAATCCAGATGCTGAATGGGAGAGCATGCATCCTTTGGACAATTTAATTAGCTCATCCATAATTTAAAGTGTGTTAACGGAGAAGCCATGGTTCAGGGATGGAGCACTGGGGTGTAAATTCAGGGAAACTGCAAGTGACTTATCTCAACTGTGGGTTTCCAGATGCCTGCGCATGTATGGCTTTGGATAGTGTCTTGTGACTCCTGTATGAAGCATGGTGGACACAGGAGGTGCTGTTCTTGAAGACAGTAACTGATACTTTAAAAATGAACCCTGGCTTTTCAACAGTGAAAGGTATAAATAG